GCTCACACCAACAAAAATGAACAGGACCTACGACTAGCCGTGGAGGACTTCAAGACGCAACTGGGCGCTGGCCTAGTTGACAAGATTGCCGCCGATGACGCTCTCGCTTCTCTTCTCCGTCTCAATCCTGACCAGACAACGTCAAAGGCGGAGGCGTCTGAGGAGAAGGCGGAGGATGAACTCGCCTCCACGACCCCCACCACAGCTTCACGCAGACGTGGCGCTAAACGAAAATCTCGAGGTCGACTCTGGGTAAGTTGTCGTGCCGGTTTCTTCTTACTACTTGCGAGCTTCGTAGCTTTACATGAGTTCAAGATGCCCCTTATTACGCTGACGAGTTTGCATAGCTTTGGCTTTCTACACGGACTCGACTTGGTCGAAAGACGCACGACTACTTTGCCTCTCTGCAAACCTGCACAGAACACTGTTGAGTTAATTGACCGCGGTGAGACTAGTATAACTGTCATCGAATGGCGGACCCTCGCCATTCCAGGGTGCACCGTGCCAAGCAAACCCCCACTCTTGCTTTCAAATCTGGGCTCAAAATTTTAACCTTATGTGAGAAAAAGAAAGGCATCTTGACAGGGGAGTTCCCAGGATTTCTCAGCAACGGTGAAGCGCCCATTCCCATATGCTTTCTTTGCATCAATCTGCATCATCCGTTGTTCGTTGGATAGCTCCCATGAGGCACAGGTGCCTCAATGATTGGTTACTGGATTTGGTTTCTAATCGTTTAACCTCTTCCTCCCGCCAGTGTTGTGTGCCTCTGACTGGCAGTGTCAGTAGTGGCTTTTTAGCATCTTATTAGTGGTTATGCTTAGAGCCCTACAATCATCCGACCGAACACCGAGTTCCTCTCTCAGGCAGCAGTGGCCGCTGGCGAAGCCAGGGCTAGTATTGACTGCGTCCAGTCGTGCCCAAGACTATGTGTGAATGCTAATGTGAGACATGTGATGATGACACTAGCTTTTACAGAATTCTGAAGCAAGTTCAAGTGGTTTGTTATTAGTGTATTACATTTGCCCTAAGGGGCTGTCGCGCTTAGAGTCTCCCCTGCTGCGTGGCCGCGGGCTGGTGTGTTCGAGTGGCCCTTTTGGTAGTCGTGCTTATCTTGACGCGCGTGTACGTGCCTGTGTGTGAACGTTTGTCAATTCCTGGAAGCCGACGTGCTTTGGCGGAACGCCTGTTAGTCAGCGGGATAGTCTCGGCAGTCAGCATGCGGGTGAAATGGGACAATGAGGCAACTG